GCGAAGACTGTTGATTTTTGTTAATTTTTCATAGAGGTCTAGTGATTTAAGTTTAAAATTACTTAAAATATAAAAAAATATAGTATAAATGCATTTTATTTTTACAATAATGCCAAACCTTTAAAATGACTAGATTAACTTAAATAAATATCCATTGTTAGTATAAAATTGACGCCTTAGAAAAGCATGCGCCTCTGAAGCGTATGGTTATCTTTCACGTACGTTGTCATATGGTTATCTTTCTAGGGTTAATATAAGCGCGCGCTGTCGTAGAACTTACGCGATCCCGTGGACTCCATGCGGCTGGCAGTGTTCACCGTGTCGCCGAACAGACAATAACGAGGCATTTTTAAGCCGACCACACCGGCGCACACCGGGCCTGTGAAGGTGGAAGTAAAAGCGTACGTGTCAATTGTGATCGAGCCAGCCGTAAATTCTCGTTCGCGGCCCGTACTCACCGGAGTGTATGCCGATCCTTAGCTGCAGCTTATCGAGGGGCCTGTGCCGAATGGTGAATTGTTTAATGGCGTTTAGGAGGCACAAGGACATGCTGGCAATTTCTCCTGCGTGCTGAATGCCGTTCCGTATCGGCAGGCCACTTACCTGTTAAGAAACAAGTGATTTATCGCGCCGCCCGGTTTTAGTTACAGCCCGGCTCTATTTAGTTTACGATTACGCTCGAGTTTTTTTCAACGCTCACCACCATGTACGCGTCCCCGATCGTTTCTACTTTGTACACGTCGTAATTCTCGATCGTCGAGTCGAAGCAGGTGTACAGGTCGTTCAAAAAGTCCACCACCTGGAAACGAGACCGCTTAAAAATGTTCTTTGTCGGACGGAGATCGGGCGCAGTCGGAGATCGGTGCTGTCGTTCACGAGCTTCGTTAAACGTCTTATAATTACGGCAATTATGCTAATTTCTCTGGCGGGCTTCGCGTAAAAGAGTACAAGTCTTTTCACCAAAGTCTTATAAGATGCGCCGCGAAATCTGAATTATTGGAACTGGAAGTTCGTTCGAAAAGCTTTCTGATATATCGTCTACGTTATGTTTTCGAAAACGAGGAGTGCCTAATTGGACGTCTAATAAGACGAAAATATTATCAATATTTTTAAGACTTGATAGGGTAAGCCGGTTACTGTGGGGAGACCAATTGCTGTGCCTTTGGTTTATTTTCGGACATAATTATCGACTGAGACATATTAAATCTTTTTGTTCAAAAATAAACCAAACAAAGGAATACAAAAGCTTAATATGTCTTTTTTGATAATTATGCTCGAAAATATGTCAAAGGCATGGCGATTGAGCACTCCACAGTAACCAGCGCCATTACCCTGTCCGATCTTCAAACAGAGAATCGCCATTTTTCGCTAGATATAAAGTATAAACAAACTTCAGCTCAGTGAAAATTTGCGAAATTGATTCTTCACGATAAAGGCATAAAATCGTGAAAAGGGTGGCGCGTGTTTCGCGGCGTGAAAGTAGCACGGCGACCAAATGCGGCGAGATCCTCGGTTTAGTCGAACGACTTGCCTGCAAAGGCGTGCTCTCGGCGGACATAGCGGTGAAGCCGACAATGTCGCTGAAGTAAATGGTAACGGAATCGAAGCTCTCCGCCTCGACTTTGTGTCCCCGTTTCAATTGCTCGGCGACGTAGCGGGGCAGCATCTCGTAGAGCAGCGCGTCTGAAACAGGCGAGCCGACGTTGTGGAATCAGAAAACAAGGGGCGAAGAGGCTCTGAGCCGGAATCGAATGAAAACCATCGAACATTAGCGACCTGTTTTCTTTTTCTCCTCCGTGAGCTGGTCGGTCCGTTCGTCGACAAGGGCTTCTAGGTTGTTTGCGTACTTCTCCATCATGGCCATCATGTTGTCGAAGATGTTTGGCTTCCTGGAATATGGTTTCCCATTAGAAAAAAAAGTGGCGAAACTCGATTGCCGGTGGGGAGGGGTTTAAATCGAAGACTCACATCCCCTTTCGCAAGGGTCTCAGCTTGTTTCTGACGATCTTGAAGTCCGGTCGCAGCTCCGGGTCTTCGGACCAGCACTCCACCAAACAGTCTCGCACGAAATGGAAACAGTTCTCGAGCTGGTCCAACGGCGGTCTGAGTTGATCGAAGGAAAACAAAGTTGCTGAGAAGGCGGGAAAGTTTTAATCCGGTGATTGCGTTACCTGAACGGCTCCACAGCCGGATCCCTGGCGATCACTTTCTTCAGGATCTCCGAGTCGGAGACCTCGGCGATCCCGAAGGGGCCGTGCCGGCCTTGAAGCTCGTACAAGACGATCGCGAACGAGTAGACGTCTCCTCTCTGATAGTCCCGCGCGGTTGGCACCTGGGTTCTGTTCGATCGCAGCAGCTCCGGGGCTCGGTACAGCAAACCTGCCGAGAAATTCGCATCGGTGAGCAAACTGTTCGCTGCACGATGGTTCAGCACCATTGGTCTGGGAATTCGCTCTCCGTGGCTTAAATTATTCTAGCGTTCTTTCAAGGCGTAAGGTTAGAGAATAGATCGATTCGTAGGTAGGTAGATCAATTCGTTTCGTCGCTAGCTAGAATTTTAGCAAGTCAGAAATGAGTATTAACATTTAAAACGTCGAAGTGACCAGCATTTTTTATAAAACAAAATTTTATTTTGGAAGTTTTTATACTCTAGTGTGTAGAAAAGTGAACACTGATCAACTTTCGTTCGAAACATTTTTTTACCAGATCGTCGGAAACGTCTGAAAAAACGTGGTCCGTTTTGAAATTGAATACGAGACCAAAACATGAAATAACGTCCAACTTCTAAAAATCTAGGTATAATTAGAAATCGTAGGAAACTGCACTTAGAAGTTACGCGTCCCTGTCAACAACGGTCTAAGCTTTCATATAAAAAAAGTGCTGCATTAAACATTTTTTAACATTCTTTCATAAGCCTTGTGAGAGTATAAATTTTTACAAATCTGACATTCTTCCTGCATGAACTAAAAAATGCTTTCGACACGCGCAAACAGTTGAAATATAAGTGCTTGCATGCATAAAAGTATAGCGCGAACATGCATTTTAACATTTTCAAACAATTGGTTTTAATCTAAATTTTATAGTTGTGCTTTTATAACGCTGTATCTAATCACAGAGTTAAATTCGGTTGTTAATACAGTAAATTCTTCGCAATTGTCCCTCAGCTTGTACACAGAAATGGACAATTTGGAAAGAGAAGATTCGATTTTTCGAGCCTCGCGGCTTGTTTTTATGTCGATTTTGTCATCCACTATAAAATCGAGCCGCAAGACTCGAAAAATCGAATCTTCTCTTTCTAAATTTCCATTTCTGTTTACAAGCTGATAATCGCATCTCCTCTTCCCAAATTGTCCATTTCTGTTTACAAGCTGATGGACAATTAAAGAGAATCTGCAGTATTCTGGATTTCGAAGTACCCAAAAATCGTCGATACATATAAAAAAGAATTTGATCGAAATATGAAATTACCGTGGTATTTCTTCAAGACGTCGCACGGCTCGCATTCCGCGTCCTTCTTGAACTCGTGCAGCCCGAAATCCGCCAGCTTCACGACCCACCGGGAGTCCACCAGGCAGTTCGACGTACTCAGCGAGCCGTGATATTTGATGACGGACTCGTGCAGATAGATCATGCCCTGAAAACCGGCGAAGCTCGTTCGTCGTTTCTCTCGTCAAGTTCGAGCGCGTTCGGATTCGCGCGGGGTTAAAACGTCTTCGATAAAATTCATAAAGGGGGGCGAGGTAACTTTCGAACATTTTTATGGTGGAAGTTGTCAGTGAGTTGCTCGCGAGGGGTTTACGACTCGATGGACTCCCGTTCGACTCGGAGAATGAAATTTCCGGGGGGCTGACGAAAGTCAAGGGGGATGCTTACTCGGATGATGTCGCCGACCAGCGACGCCATGAACATGTTATCCAGCTTCATGTCCTCGTTCTCCAAGATGTCCTGCGCGAGAAAATAGAAAAAAGGGAGGTGAACGTTACGGACCCGGTGCGTGGTTTCGTTTACTTAACCCTCGGGAGGCGGTGGTTAGGTCAATTTTGACCCGGAGCATTGAAATCGTTCGGTTAATTATTCAACTATCGGCGATCAAATGAAGTAGATTGCTGTTACATTAACAGAAAGGCTAAATAGTCCGCAAAATCTTCAAAAACATCTTCAGAAATACCTTCAAAAATATGTTTGATAAAATTGCCGAGTAAAGCTCAGAATTGTTGCAAACATCGTCGACAGTATAATTGCGAAAATGGTCCGCCGTCCGAGGGTTAATTGCCGGCTACCTTCGATTACCTTGAGACTGCCACGTGCACAATATTCGACCACGATGCAGATGTTCGGCGGATCGGTGCACGCACCGATGAAAGCGTTCAGGTTGTCGTGTCGCAAGTCACGCATCTGGAAACAACGTCCTTCGATTCAGATGCTCTCGGTGCACGGCGGAGCTTGCACTCACCACTTTCAGCTCCTTCTTCATCTCGCGCGTTATCTCGATCGATTTCTTCCGAACCTTCTTCACCGCGAATATGCGGCCCTTGTAGACGCCGATTTGCGTGTAGATCATCGAGTACCGGAAGTCGGCGTCCGGGTTGGAGCTGAGAGAGACCTGGCTCGTTCGGACGATTGGCTGGGTCATCGGCTGAACAGAAAGTCACATCTCGGTGTCTTTTCCTAATTTTCACGCGCTCTCGTAACCCTTTCGCTGGTTTCACCGCCTGATTGCATCGTTTCGAGTACAGACCGATTTTAACGAATTTTGCGAATTATTGATAACGCTTTTGCGTTATTTCTATTACAAGAAATTTTCTAGTTAACGAATTGAAATGGTACTTGCATGTATAAGGTGTCCCAAAATTATTGTACAAGCGGGAAATGAGAGATTCCTGAGATCATTTGAAGCAACTTTTTCCTTAGCGAAAATGCAATCCGCGGCTTCGTTTACGAGTTATTAGCGAAAAACCGTGACCAATGAGGGATCAGCTGGCGCGAAGCGGCCGAGGCAACGAGCAGTCGAAGCCTATTGGGCCTCCTACAAGCCGTCCGCTCATTGGCTCGGCCGCCTCGCGCCGGCTCGCCTCTCATTGGTCACTGTTTTTCGTTAATAACTCGTAAACGAAGGCTCGGATTGAATTTCCGCAAAGGAAAAAATTACTTCAAATAACCTCAGGAACCCCTACTTTCCTGCTTATACAATAATATTTGGAACACTCTGCAGAATCGCAGTCTACTAATGAAAAATTAATTCAATTGGCTTCCACTTCACTTTCCTCAAAAAGAGTTTGTTGCGTTTTACACCCTGTAGAACCTTTATTTAAAAAATCAGGTTTTCCGAACAAGCGACTTCACGTTCACGAAGCAACGCCGCGAGATGCCATTTCATTTCCCGACTGATCTGATCAGCTCTGCGATGAGCGCGGTGCGGGAGACGAAATTGATTCGAACGCGGAGCAATCGTATCGTTTACATTTTGATAGGAGAATCTTGGGGACTCGCGAACGACTTGGACTACGAGACGGACGGGGGTAGCTCGGCAAGGGGTGGCGGGATAAAAGGGGGTTGGCGCGGAGAGAGAATGGCGGAGGAAAGTTCGTAGGGGCTCGCATAGCCGGGCATTTACCTTGGAATTGCATTTGGCGGGCGCCTCGTTGACTATCGGCGCTGACTCGTCCTTTTGCTCCTTGATCTGGATGTCTTTGTAGTTCACCTTCCATAGCAGGGAGTCTAGCTCCTGCTCGTACCTCCAGTTCCTGTACAGCACCAGCAGCACCGCGGCGACGATCAGCAGGAAACCACCGGCGATGCCACCGACGATCTCCGCGGTGTGAGCTGAGGAATCGAACGGATGAGGCCGACGAAAAACGGTCTCGCGTCGCCGGTGCCGGGCCGATCCGATTGTTCGTCTCTCTCCGGCGGGAGAGATTTAGGTCAGAGATGTTCGTCCCCTTCTCTTTTAATTGTACCCCCGATGGAGCCGGCGTGTGTTCCCGGTCGAGCGCGTGACGTCGAAATCGGGCGGCGCAATCGGTTTCGTAATCGGTAATAGCGCGCGGTTACGTGGCCGACATACGTATTCGATCTCAATTAAAGGAAACGAAAATGGTAACGCGGGAAGGGCGGAAGGCGTTTCCCTTTAACCGATTTACATATGGAGATTTTGAAGGTCGCGACCGGCCAACTTTACGGCGCATTTCTCGGCCATGAACAGGAGCTGCCCCGAGAGAGAAAGCTGACTGGGAACGAGCGCGAATGGGAACACTCTTTCACCCTGCACCGACGACACAATCTTTCGTCGTGTCTTCGATCGCCGCCGCGTGTACCCTCGACGGAGATCGGACTTTTGCGAATTCCGACGCGGCGGATTGCGCTGCTCGTGTTCTCCCCGTCGTTTCGATTGCGCGAACTGACCGTCGCCCAGTTCCACTTTATTGGCGTTGTAGTACGTTGCTGAATTATGCGCGCGATTTCAGCGGAACGTTGGAGTTCGAAAGTGTGCAGAATTTTGGTATCGATGAGTCGGGACTCGGGGGAAACTGTGCGAGATGCTTTCAAGATTTCTTTTTTACTGCGGAAAGGAAATGGCGTTAAACGAATGTTTAACGCATTACGAAGTTCTATGAAACTTCGTGAACTATTTTGTATCCGTTACTGATAGATTAAGGTTGATCTGGATATTTAGAAATGACTCGAGGAATTGTAATTACAAAGTAATTCGATTACAATGTAATTCGTAACTGCAATTGGAGTGCAGTTACAAAATACTAAGTAACTAAATTATATTCATCACGAATTTCCGTGTAATTGAATTAGCACGACTGTGACTGTAAAACCTGTCCAAATCATCGATTTCTGATTTCTTCTCTTACAATTACTGAAATGAGAAACTCTTTGATAATCTTCTTTATTCAAGCATAAACAGTAATGTCTCTCTAATCGACGCCCAGATCGCGCACAAAAATGAATAATTTGGGAAGAGGAGACACGATTATTGGAGCCTTGCGGCTCGTTTTTATAGTTGTCGACAGTTCGTAATTATAAAAACGAACCGCAAGACTCGAATAATAATAATAATAATCGTACCTCATCTTCCCACATTGTCCATTTTCGTGTACAATCTGAGCGTCAGTTAGGGAGACATTACTGTACGTAGAATTGTGAAGTTGAAATAAATCGATTTATGAAGTTTGAGTAAATCCAATGTTGCGGAACAATGTAAATTGGTCTCGTTTAGGGCTCGGTGGCTCTACCGTGGACAAAATTAGACAACTCGCATTCCGAGTTACAAAATTCGAGTTTGTGGAACACCTATTTGAACATAACTTTCGCAGCAAGCCGAAACGACTTCGAGCAAATTGAGGTTATTTTGAGGGATCGTTGATACGTACACGTGCATTTTTCGCCGTGGTAGCCGCAATGAGGTTCCGCGATAGGTGGTCCACCGCCGATCCAAGAGATCTCTCTTGTTAATCGAAGTTTCTGGAACAAGAGAAAATCAAGAGAAGCTTAAAGGACTTGTCCTACCGGCAAGAATCGCCGCTACGCGATGAGAAAATTCCGGTAAAAATTTGAATTTTAAATGAGGATAAGCTGACGTTTTGTACTTTTTAACGAACACGAAGCGGTCTTTAATAATTGGGAAATCTTCTTTGTCTTTTTTTCATGCGCGTAGTCCTTCGATAAGATTTTTTCATTTAATATGGCTTTCTATTCTGTTGCATTACTCGGCGAGGATGCATCAAACATAAAATCCAGAAACACCATCTTAAAGTAGAGATTTCAAGCTTTAATATAGGAAAAAAGTCATTGTCCTACGATCATTTTTCGCGGAGTTGTCGTCAGTCTAAGTTGGCCAATTTTTATCCATACTTTTTCCATGCTATAATTTCTTTGAGCTGTATAATTCAGTAAAACAGCAACAAGATGTTACCTTTTGGGCGATATTTATATAATTAAAGCTCTGAAAAAATGAATCTTTCGCACGAATTTATATTATATATCTTTTCTAAACTAAACGAATTACGAAATTTTTCCTTTTGGATGACATTATATAACTGGAGGAAAAAATGCTATACATTTTTTCTAAACTAAACGAATAATTAAATTTCTCCAAAAATATAAAACATTCAGTAAAACAGCAACAAGTTTGTTGAACGACATTATATAACTGCGGAACGAAAGCTCTGAAAAAAGGAATCTTTCGCACGAACCTATATTATACATTTTTTCTAACGTAAACGAATGATCAAATATTTCCAAAAACATGGAAACCTTGATTTTGACTGGAAAATGATTCCGGGCGCCATAAAGCGAGCGTCTTACCGGCAGGTTGGTGCCGTTTTCTTTGCCGATGAAGTTCGCTATGGGATACAATCCGTGTCCTTTCGCCGGCTGATCGTCCATCGCAATCAGAGTGTAATTGCCTTCCGCATCGCCATTTTCGTCCATGTATACCATGTACCTGGGGGAGACAATACATCTCGTAACACACGCGTCGCGCGCGCATTAAAGTTGTCATTAATTACGGAACAGCGCTTGTCGAACGCTGTTGTTCTTCGCCGCGTTCCGTTCGTTCCTTCTCGTTCCTTCGCGTCACCGTTATGGATAATTGACACCGCAGGACGAGGCGAAAGAATATTATATAACGCGCTCTCCCGGTGGCATTGATCGCGAGAAGGACATCGCGGGATCGTATAGATCCTCCTTTCCGCGCTCGTTATTCTCGCGGGAGGATCGTAAACGCCCGCCGGAAATTTATAGAACGATCCTTTATACGGACAATTAACCTGCACGAAATTGTACTGGAACGCGTTACCGTAAGTCCGGGATCCGCAATCGAGGTCGACCGATTTTTCTTCGGTTCCCGGAGCCGGCCCGATCCACCGTTCGCGCGTCTCCGATGCGGAATTTTCATCTTTACCCGCGCGATCTCGCGACCGTCCCGCGCCCATAATTCATCCCCTAATCACTCGACTCGCGGAGTTCTCGCGGCGAGATACGAGAGTGACGAATCGCGCCGCTTCCGTCTTCGCCGACCTCGTTACGACATCCCACCGGTAATTATTGTCTCGTTTCGAAAGTTTTTACTTTGATCGATAACACTGCTGCGATGCGTCTTAGTCGTCTGCCGTGTTCGTTTCGTGTCAATGTTTTTGCGGAAGCGTTCTCCGTTACGGTGAACTATTGGATCTTTTGTTTCTGCGGAGAGACGTGGCAACGCTTCGGTTTGCAACGCTTTGTTCCATTTTTATTTAATTTATTCGAATAATTTTTCATTCGAGAAATTCGCGAAATTCTTTATTCGATCAATTCGAGAAATTCGAGAAATTCTTTATTCGATCAGTTCGAAAAATTCTTTATTCGAATTATAGAGTAATATGGAAGAAATAAATCGATAAAGTATGAAAAAATACTTTATATTTTACCATTTTTAGTCAAATCAATTATTTCCATTATCTTACGAGTTCCTGCATGAATAAATTCTTATTCGAATAAAATCTTATTCGAGTGAATTCTTATTCGAATGAATTCTTATTCGAATAGAATTTTATTCGAGTGAATTCTTATTCGAATACAATTTTATTCGAATAGAATTTTATTCGAGTGAATTCTTATTCGAATACAATTTTATTCGAATTTTTCTTATTCAATTTCTTCTTCTTCTTTCTTATTCAATTTATTCAATTTCAATTTCTTATTCAATTTTATTCGAATATATTTATATATAGATAAATTTTTATTCGATTGAATATTTATTCGATAGTGTCGAATTTTTATTTATTTCTATCTTATTCTCTTTATTTTATTTTTATTTTATTTTTATTTTATTTTTATTTATTTTTATTATATTTCATGGTCTACATTTGTTATCCGTAATCCGAATAAAATTTTGTCGAACCGTGTACCAGTCTCTCGTAAATCGCTATCGTATATTGTAGATCGAAGCGTTAGTTCCACTCTTTTAGAATTAGAATCGATCTACGTTCGTGCCGTCGGCGCGTTCCTTCGGCCTTATCTCAGGATAATCTGAAAAATGGCAGACAAGAGGGCCCCTGTCTTCCGTACGTACCCCATAGCGCTGCGGTAATTGACGCCGTAAAGTCTCGCCACCATCTCTATGCCGTTGCGCGGATCGCGATCCTCGTCCAGAGCTTTCAGCAACGACCTCGCGTAGAGATGCACCGCGTCGTACAGATACGCCGTCTCCGGCACGATCTGCCTTATAACACGAAAAATAATAAAGGGATTACGTTTGAAAATTGAGCACCGTCGCCCGACTTTCGCGCCCCGATCCTGATCAAGCGGCCTCGGATCGGATTGAAACTCCGGGAGCGGAAAGATAGGCTCGCGGATAAGCCTTCCCCGAGCGGGACGAAAGGAAAATCGAGCGGAAATTTGTATCTAGCGGAAACAAGGCGGATGGGTTTCCCCGTGAACCTCGGTGATTCGAAATTCTCTTTGGAGTCGCGTTCGAGCAGAACTTCGTTGCAGTCATTAGCTAATTCTTTTATTTAACAGGGGAACATTATCTTAGGTAGATTCGTGCAAATTAAAATTGATAATGATCAATAATAGTTTAAGTCATATATTAATTAAATTGTAATTCGTAATTTAGATCGTTATTCAATTAAGTTACGAAGTAATTCAATTACGTTGTAATTCGTAATTCGGATCGCCATTCAATTAAATTACAAAGTAATTTAATTACGTTGTAATTCGCGTAATTCGAATCGCCATTCAATTCAATTACAAAGTAATTTAATTACGTTGTAATTCGGAATTCGGATCGTCATTCAATTAAATTACAAAGTAATTTAAATTAATTAAATTAATTATTTCAATTAATTTACAAAGTACTTCAATGTAATTGAATTACAATGTAATTAATAAATAACTTGAACTATCGCTAATAATTACCATAATAATTACCAATGCTAAACAATAAAATAATAATTAATAAGTAACAATCGAAATTGTATTCATAAATAAATATAAAATAAAAATTGTATTATTTAAAATAATTTATTTGGATCTATATAAATAATAAGCAGTTATTTTTATCTTCCACTTAAACCTCCGAATAACAATTACTTTTGTATTTGAATTCACTCAGCGATTAAAATATACCTATCAATTGAATTAACTTTGAATCATGCTAATTGAAGAGTACAAGTTAAATTACAACGTGATTGAAATACAATGTAGTCGAATTACATTGCGATTGAAATACAATGTAATTCACTTGGGAAATTGGATCGGAACGTAATCGAATCAGCAGAACTCTCGACTCTCGCTGAAAATCTGTTTCCACGAGATTGTAATAGTCACCTGAACGTTTCCACCCTTTTTCTTGGCCGGATTACTGAAGTTGAAGGGTGGTTTCTCCCGATAGACATGGACCAGCTGGGTGAAGTTGTCCGAGTAGATCGGCGCGGATGCTACCACGCTGAAGTAGTTGCGGTACGATTTCAGAATGGACGGGTGCATCGGTGCACCCCACACGTCGCGGAAGTATTTATTCGGATCGTTGTCGTCGTACTGCGCGATGTCGACGCCGACAACCCAGTACTTCCCTGTCGGATCAATCGGAATGATCAATTCCTTCGTCGATCGATGAAAGTTCGATGTCGTTTGGAAGATACTTGAGGAACTACTGGCGTAATCAATCGTTTGCGGACGACAGAACTTGCATCTATACTACCGTGCATAATTCTTTGAATCCTTGCACATTATTATGAGAATATATTATTGGTCTATATATATTAGGAGGACCGGAAAGTAATGTCGTTTCTGCGCATATTTATCTGTTTGAGTGTGATGTAAACAAACGACATAACTTATATATATTTTAATCAATTTTCAATCAAACTTGTAATAGACCAATAATATTATATATATATATATATATAGACCACAATATATAATATATATATTATTATATATTATATATTGGTCTATATATATAATATATTATTAGTCTATTACAAGTTTGATTGAAAATTTGATTCGTATAATGCCTATAAACATCGATAAATATTTAACATACTAGCATTTGTTGAAAGGAAGAATCATAAATTAAAATCGGCATAAAATTGATTTCGCGGTGACGCGACAAATGCTTCTTAACTGCTAACTATTATTTGAACCATGAATTGAAACTGTCAACAGAACGTATTAATAAATATATTGAATAATAAATTATTAAATCTTCAAGCGTTTTCCATCTTGCTATCGAGTATTCCAAGAACTGTCCGCAAACAGTTGAAAGCCTAGCGATTTTGACTGTCGAATGAGCGAGTTTCCTTAAAATACACGAAACTTCTGCCGAATGCTTCAAGTAAAATGAGTTTCTCACGCTCTAGTCGTTGAGAAAGCGTTTCATACAGTGTCTTAAAATCGTCACGATTTTGTTACCGGTGTCTCGCTAACGAAATTGTTACATTTTTACGTTACAATTCGGCAGAAGTTCCTGGATTCGATAGGGAGCGACGATAAAGCTAGTGGCACTGCTTCCGCAGTATACGTGCCTGATTACGTTACAGCAGATTTATACCTTGTTCCAAGAGCTTCTTCTCGTCCAGAGCTATCAAGAGACCTATGTGCTCATAATAGTCGCCTAGAATCACGTAAACTGGAACAGAACGCGACATGTTTCCGGTAATTTCACAGGATTCCGTTTCCGATTAGGCCGCTCTTTGCCTAATCGTTTCCGAGAGAAACAGGGAATACGGGGTTGCATTATCGCATTGGTGCCTTTTATCCAATTAATTGACCAAAATAAATTCCCTCGTTCAAGCTTACGATACAATAACAAAACGACGAGAAGTCTAAATAAATTCAGTCTTGTCATTTTTGTAAATCAACGCACGTTAGTCGCTTCTCGAGCTCGCTCGATTTAGCGTTAAAATAAGATAACAACTGTGAGATTGAGTAAATTTACAGATTTCAGCCCATTGTCAAGACATTCGAGCTCAAAGTGTCAAGTAGTGACCATCGACACACAAATTTTACATTTCAATTACAGTGAATTCTTCCCAATTTTCCTTCAGCTTGTAAACAAAAATGGACAATTTGGGAAGAGGAGATACGATTATTCGAGCCTTGCACCTCATTTTTATAATTCTTGACAATCGGGAACCATAAAAATGAGCCGCGAGGCTCGAATAATCGCATCTCTTGCCAAATTGCCCATTTTTGTTTACAAGCTGGAGGAAAATTGGGAAGAATTTACTGTACACAGTTATAGTCAAATATCGGAAAATCAATGATATTCAGAAAAAAACGATGCATTTACGAGCAGTGCCCGATTTTACCGAGTTTCGAAGCCGTAAGAGTATCAATCTCCGTAACAATCGTGCGATTGTTATTTAATCCTGGCGAACATTTTCTTTGGGAAAAGTTCGCACCGCGCGTCGGCGGCTATTTTTAGAAACCGGATGATACCGAAATAGATGGTGCTAATCAATGGGGCGAATTAGGCCTGGTATCTATTCGCCGCGCGTCGCATTCCGGTCGTTGTAATATGCGGGTTATCGCGCGAGCCGACGGTGAATTAAAATGCGGGTAGCCTGTTTCGTGAGGCGACGCGTGAAACGTGATTGGGGAAAAGTGCCTCTCCTTGTTTCGAGATCGTTTCACCGTTATCGCGATCATCGTAAATTAAGAAGAAACGAGGTTGCCGCGATACGTTCGGGAAAAACGATGTCGCCGTGGTCTCTCTTTTCTTTTCTGTTTCGCAAGAAAACGGACGGACCGATGTCGAACGGGATACTCACTGCGCGTCTCCCGATACGTCTCGCCGACGATCTCGTGGAACGGATTCGACGTGTAACCGTAGAAGTACGGTTCCTGCCAGGAACGCAGGAAGTTCACCGTGACACCTGCTGCATCGAACGCCGACAATATCGTTTGCGCCACCGTCGACATCTTGTTGAACTCGTACCGCGACGAGTTCATGTACATGAACGTCACCTGAAAGTTTACGCGCGACACGCGAATTCTATTATGTCTGTTAACCCTTTGCACTCGATGATATTTCAACTGAAAATATAAAATCATTTTTCTCGCTTACGGTATTTCTATTTTATACGAGAAAATGCATTTTATGCATATATGAAAATTGGCTCTTGGGACTCGCGCAACAGTTACGCTCTTAACAATTTTTCAAATGTAAACTTCGTTAATATCAAAATAATCCTAAAAGGTGATATAACAAATATTAGCGATGTTTCGGAGTCGCCGTTCGAGTGCAAAGGGTTAATTGTTATGTCACGATCAGAGTGCGGATCTTCGTGCGAAACAAAACTTATCTGCGTCAATTGTAACGAGTAGACGCTGAATGCGATACTGTTTCCTTTTTAAATAATTTTACGAGACAATTTCTTCTTACATGTCTTCATTTACTTTCATTCGTACGTTCCGTTTCTATAGTGCAAGGTTATTTTAAACATATAACATTATTACTTAAACATATATAACTGCTCATAAACAATCGGATAGAAAGCGGTAGCCTAATTTATATCATCAGGTATCTCGAGGAAGAAGAACAATTCTCGAATAGGGCACACATGAGTACAATTAAAATTCGTCAGAAAACAAAAGACATATACAGGGTGTCCCAAAAATGTCTCGCAATCCGAAAGTGGCGGGTTCCTCGGGTCATTTGAAGCAACTTTTTCCTGTACAAAGATTTTCTCCGAGGCACCGTTAACGAGTTATTAACGAAAAACAGTGACCAATGAGAGGCGAGCTCAGCTGGCGCGAGGCGATCGAGCCAGTGAGCGGAACTGGGCTTCGTGCGCTGGTTGGCTGGGCCGCCGCGCGTCAGCCGTACTCGATTCTTATTGGTCACTGTTTTTCGTTAATAACTCGTTAACGGTGCGTCGGAGAACATTTTTGTAAAGAAAGAAGTTGCTTCAAATGATCCGAGGAACTCGCCATTTCTGGATTGCAAGACATTTTTGGAACACCCTGTATACGCTGTTCGTTCACCTCGATCCGCGTTCTGTTCAACTGTTAAATGGCTTCTGGCGTTGTTATAATATGTTAATTAAGCGATGGTGGTTTCACTCACTTTGGTCCAGTTGAATGCCAGCAGGACGGAGACGACCGATTTGGAGATCTGCGTGTCGGGCGGCCTGGTCCTCGCGAACGTTGGATACTCCTTCTTGTCGGAGGACGCGCGGTGCGTGCAAAACTAGAATCAAGATATCGAGCAGTGCCGACCTGGATGCGGCTTGTTCGCTCTATTATACCGGGGCGATAGTTATTGCCAGGTCGGAATTCAGGTGAGCGCGGCCGCCAGGTAGAGATAAATGTGCGCGCGAGCCGGTCTCGAATTTGCATTCGATTTCTAGGCTGGTCTGTTGCAAGCATGAAAGACGACGCGGTCATGTGATCGCCGACGGCCGAACGTAAAATCGAACGAAAAGACGACGGAGGATGCCTGGACAGTGATCCACGATCGACATTGTTCGTTACGTTACACTATGTGTCCTAATTAGATGTGCAACGACAAATTCGTTGCCGAGCAACGCGACAATATATTAATGAAATTATTTGTCTGTTGTCAAATCAGATACAATTTTGAACCTATTTATAAATTATATAATTGTTTAAAACTGATTATTACGTAATGTCTGCATAATTGTACTAAATCAATTTATGTAAAATTTGTATTAATTATATTAAATTTACGCAAATTGTATAAAACTCCAGAGATATTTATAAATTAAATAACCGTATCAAAAATTTGATTCACGGCGATCTATAACGCGAATTATGCGGTGCACGATGGGAATGAATTCGATCGAAATTTACTTTGCTTCGCGATGTCATAATTCGATCGGAGGAGTGAATCGAGAAGCTCTTCGGCCATTGTCGATTAATTTCTCGAGTCGAGTCGAACGAGATTTCTCGAGCTCGGGTTCAACGGATCGTGAAACGGTGCGCCCAATATTTTCGGCGAGCCGGCGGCGGGGACGGTGGAAACGGTTCAATGATCCGGATAATTTCCCGGGAAGATGGATGGTGTCTTTTCTCTGTTTCCCGACGCGTCTACCAGCTACGCTTCTTCCGCGACAGCTGCGAGATTAAAAGAAATCTAATGAATTACGCGCGGGAATAGCTTCGTCGCTCCGGACCGCCACGCCGCCGCCGCGGCTCTCGTTTCTCTCTTAGGTCTTTCGCGTCAATTACTGCCCTTTTTCTTCGAACGCCGTTCTTCAGGCTGGTGCGCGCGTCAGTCGTCGTCGCCGCGCCCTCGAATTCTCGAGCGAAGTCTCTCGAGCTGCGAAAGACGACTTACAAAACGATAGATTTCCACGGGAAGTTTCTTTTGTTACTTGTTTACTCTGCGATGCAATTTCTGTTGTCAGGCTCCCGCGTTGGGAGCTCCTTCTCGGCGAGGTTATTAATGAATTGCGTTTATTACAAAGCAGAATTATGCAAGATAAATGTTCTGCAGGACGCTGGAGTCAAAGAGAACAATTTCAGAATGTTGAGGATAATTTAGTTCTTAAAATCATCTGTCTTTCTTAAATTCTCTCGATTCTTCACAGTTGCGTTCTAATAATAATCATAATAATAATAATAATAATAATAATAATAATAATAAAAATAATTCTAAGTTTTGCAATAAATATTTTTTTTTAAATTGGTTATTCAACCCTTCGACTACGAAAAGCGTATATACGCCCTCGCAAGTCTACAAATACGTAAAAAAGACGCAAATATACGCTCTCTACATTTTGTTAACTGCAACACCGTCGCTGTTGCATCAAATAATTGTAGTGTTAAACGCGTTAAATGAAACTTGTTATTCATTATCAATATCGAAATTCTTTATCTATTATCTTCGTAATGACATGCGACACCCAGTCGTATCGACTGATTTGTTCGTTTCGCTTCGTTCGTATTGATGGTTCGCCGGAGTCAAAGGGTTAACGTCGCATCAACCACTTATGGGTTATTAGCGACTCCAATGAATATTTAGAAAAGATACGATTATTCGATCTGAGGTTTCTGAAGCCATTAGGCAGATATCTAAAGGTATCTATAAAGGTCAAAAGAAAGGAAAGATAAAATAGAAATCCTGTCAAGTCTTGCGATCTGCATAAAATCCGCCATTTGAGTCTAACGTATTTCTCGAAAACGAAAGCTCTTACGGCAGAAAATGTCGTAACTCTATCCACGGGTAATTTACTAATCCTGAAGTTTATGATTGTAATATCCACTCGCCGCTTCAAACTTTCTAAAGCTGAGCGATAATCCTTGAATATCAATCTCGAAGGCAAAAGCGGCAATAAAACATTGCAATGCGGTTCTCAGCCTCTCTCTCTCTCTCTCTCGCTCTCTCTCTCGCTCTCTCTCTCTCTCTTTCTCTCGCTCTCTCTCTCTCTCTCTCTCTCTCTCTCTCTCTCTCTCTCTCTCTTCGAGTAGTCCATGTTACCAAGTAAACAAGCGAAGAAGAGTCGCGCGAATTTCGAAATTCAGCCTCGAACTAAAGCTAAAAATGCGCCGCGCGAGGTTAGCGAAACGAAGAATTTTCGAAAAACTGTCCCGTAGGAGACAGACGACGAAGAATCTTCTACGTTTCGCGGCTAATGAGCCGACGGAGGCTCTCCGTCGGTTTTTCAGGAGCCGACGGCGGGAACCGGCGCGGTTAGAAAACGAGCAGAGGACCCCGGGATGCCGGGGAGTGCTAATAGATAAAGGCGTTCGCGGGCAACGATGGCGTTGAATGGGTTAAACGTGTCGTAACCTCGGCTCCGGCGCATTCGTATTCCTCGGTGGTCGGCGAATAATTTATT